TACACAACAACAACATTTTTGCTTATATTGATGATATCACAATTTTTACACAAACGTTAGCAACACTATAGAAAACAACCAATATATTTACATCATTTCTCAAAATAAACCATATAATAAACCACTCCTGGAAAAGCACCAAATGCAAACAAAACCTAAAAATAGAGAACACAGAGATCACTCCCAAACCATTCGAACAAGATATAAAATATCTAGGAATCTACTTATCTGATCAGTCCCCAGATCTGTCAACAAAATGAAGGCTTCTAAATAAATCCAATGAATTCATTAAAAGCATTGCCAGCCAGAAAATATGGAATGGCTCCATCACAAAGCAAGTTTCACAATGGGTCATCCCAGTTCAGATTGACTATGCTCTTCAAATTACACCTTTAAGAAAACATGATATCAATACTTTTCAAACATTATTCAACAAAGCAATAAAAAAAAAACTGAGTATAGAATGCACCCTATCAAATAGAGCCTATTTCTCACAAGCTGGCATCAATTCAACAGCCCTCAAGGACCAGAAGACAATTACACTGGTCAAATTACTAATCACCATTCTAGTGAATAAGAAAAATTTAACAAGAGATCTTATCAATTCAAATGAGCAGCACAATTTGGCTATTTGATCTGCCATTCCCAATATTTTGAACAATTCTGGATCACAGAAGCAGTCCAAATCACAGCAGACTACAAAATAAATATTTATCCAAATCCATGTTCCTTCTCACACAAGGATGCATGGTTGTTCATAGGTCTTCATACCAAAATAAACAAGACAACAGCCCTACACTTATCAAGAAATAACATCAAAACAGTCAGGCAGATTACACAATACAATAAATCCAGCATAAATTTATGGGATGAACTCTATACAAAAACAGGATGAGTCACTCCTGGTCACATTCCCAGTTAGTACACTGACCTCAAAGAAAACTTCTTCACAATAACTGGTAACATATTATCTCTTTCTAACCCAAAACCTCTTTTTTGGACTTTTAAAAACACAAACTACATAGAATTTATAAAAACAAGAAAGAACTACAATAATAAAGAAACAATTAGAGAACAACACTACATTGTAGATGAGAATACAAATCACCTAAACAAATGCCAATGTTAGACTCAACCTTGTATCAAAAGCAAACAAATCAAAATAGCAAAATCAATATGATATAAGAAAAACAACAACCTCTTCTATCTTCTTAACAACTTAAATGATGTTGATATACAACTTATTCCCAAACCTACCAGCAATGAAATAGTTCTAATTCAACTATGGCCAACAACTTCTTGAGCAAATGCTCCCATTAGCATAGTAGTAACTCAAAGAACCAATGGAATTGAAATAGAGAACAATAACAGCTCTCAACTATTTCTACATACTTTTAGCTCCCATTACGAGTTATGGACCATCTTAAATAACATAATAGAAAATGCTACACCCTACACTAATATAATGTGCTTCATGTCCAAACTCCCAAATATCAAGCTCCTATTATACATCAACAAGAAAATCAAGGTTCAACATAGCCACATAATCGAAAGATATCTGAATCTTGCAAAAATCAAAAAAATCAATCTAACATACATTAAAATCGAAGGCAAGCTCACTCTATCAACCATCTCAACATATACAAGTTTACCTCCCTACAATCCAATACAATTCTCCACTTCACCACTTATTAACAACAAAATTGGATCTAGTATTATACATTAGATAAAATTCATTAATTTATACACCAAACTCTTCTCAATAATCTTAAGCAACAACTGCATATACAAACCCAACAACATTTCTGAATTTTTACAGCTAAAACAAGTCAACAAAAGCTACTGAAAAATGGATAAATACAACTATAGAGCCTTGACCACCTTCAGAACAAAGCTATTATTCAACTTATTACCCACAAGAGACAAACTTCACAAGAGATATCCTACACTATACATAGATTCAAGGTGCCCTAGATGTAACTACACGAAAGAAGATCAGCTCCATATCTTTAATTGTATTGAGAGTAGAGAAACAATAAAAAAAAAAAACTATCTAAATTTAACAAAATTTTAAAAAAATAAAGCAGAAACCATACACAAACTAACCTAACAACAACATTATCTGAATTAACTAAAGGAGACATCCTACTCAATATCACTATAGGAGAGCTCAACCAGTAACTAGAGTCACTATCCAGTGAAAAACTACAAATCCAACTGATAAATACATTATTAAAAGTCCTTTATAAAATTTGGAAATAAAGATCTGCTATAGCTAACACCTCACTTATCAGTGGAATCAAATGGAACAAGTCAAAAGTGATTAACAAATCCAACCAAGGTGAAAATAAAGCAAACAACAACAATATCTCAAAAATAATTATCGAGTCATCAAATTTACTTAATAACTCCATACAAAAATCTTTATTTCTTTCCTCAATAATAACATTGTTTTTGAATAGGCATTAGCCATTTGACCCTATTCTGGTGAACTTGGATATTGTCCAGTAGTGCGGTACAATAGGAAAATCGCAATAGGCTATAGTTAATTTACCAATGTAAAGACTATTAATGTCATGTTTAAGAACTAATTTTCTAATAAAAACCTATATTTAGCACTCATTTGCAATTAAAAAAAAAAAAAACAATAGAAATTTCATTTATTTTCTATAGGATATAGTTTTGACAAGAAGTGGATTTCTTTTCTATATTCATTAAGAAATTTGAATCAATCAGGATTTAATTGACTTGTTTTTAGAGTTTATATATATTCTAGATGGTAGTATTTTTATAAAAAATTTTTTTGGTACTAAAACTAGTCAAGGCTGTATAATCTATTTATATTATGATCACATAATTAGAGATTCTATAAGTTGTATTATGTACAAGTGTGCATATAGTTAATAAGTATACATTTTGTATAATATAATCTATATTGTGACAATTATTCTAAGATAGGATTGAATTAGTAATTTGTAGATAGTAATCTGAAAGTATACTTATTGTACTATTGATTTACAGGTCTTATTATTATAATTAATAAAGATTGTTTTATATTTTAAAACTATATTTTAGATTGATTAATTATTTTAGATAAGAATTATACCATTTAAAAAATTATATTAAACTAAAGCAGATAAAATTTCTTAAAAGGCTATAAAAATATAAGTTTTAGAAAAATCCAAATAATTAATAAAAAGAAAAATAAGTTTTATTTTTATAAAAAAAACTTTTATTAATACTTGTTTTAAAAATAGAAAGATTTTAATTAATATTTTTTTGAAAAAACTTTTTTTGATTATAGTATTAAAAGTTAAGTTATTAATTAAAGTAATTATAAATAAGAATAAAATATAATAATAATTTTTAGAAATACATTTATATTATTTAAAAATAAAAATAAAATTTTATTAATTAAGAAATTTAAAAATTTAATAAATAATTTTTTATAATAGTTAGAAAATTATTAAAAAAAAATATTAATCTTTAAAATTAAATTATATTCAAATAATTTACATAATAAAGTAATAAATATTTTAACTAAATATACTTTAGAGTTTCCTATAATTAAATAAAACTTGACTATAAACAAAATTATTATAAAAATAAAATAGTAAAATATAACTTAAAATGATTTTATTAAATAATTTATTAAAAAAAAATAAATAATAAAGTAATAATATATTTATGAATATAGTAAAATAAAATAGATAAAAAAATAAACTCAATAAGTTTAAAGTTATCAAATATATTTATAAAAGTTAGTATAAAAAAATTAAAAATAATTATATTTAAAATATATTTTTAAAGTATTTAAAAAATATTTATTTATTAAAATAATTAATACTAAAATTTTTATATTAATTAAATCAATAGAAAAAAGATTAAATTTATATAAATGAATTAAATACATAATATGTAAATTTATTAAGATATTTTAATTAAAAGAGTAATGTATAAAAAGTATAGAATTAAATATCAAAAACAATCTTTAAAGATTTTTATTGATTATAAATTAATAAAAATATATAGTATATATTTAACAATAAATAATAGAGAAGAGATTTGAAAATAAATAAATATTTAAATTAGTAAATCAAATCTTTAAAACTAATTAAGATATATTAAGTTTTTGCATAAAGTTGATAAGAAATAATCTAATTATAGAAATAATAAATTAAAATATTATATAAAATATTATATATTAAAAAATTATAAAATAAAGATAAGTTTAATATATTTATAAATATTAAAAAATCTATAAAATTATTTTATTCAATAAATTTCATTAGAATTAATATTAAATATAAAATAAATAAAAAAGAAGAAAGAATAGAAATATAAATCTTACTTACATATATAGTATACTAATGTTTAATAAATACACATAATTAGCCTGACAGAGGGTAAATATATATATATATATAAATTTTACAAAATTGTGAAAAATAGGATTTACATTAATTAAAATAATAAGAATTTGATCTTTGTTCATATTTAAGAAAATGATTTATAGTAATATCTTATAAAAAGATATTTATTGAACTACTAATTAAACAAATGTTCAATAAACCATATATAACTAATATAGCAAAGAATTCTTTAAAAAAAATCAATAATTTCTATTTTAATTAAAAATTTTGTTTAATAATAAAAGTCATAAACAATGCCTTTATTAATAAATTATCAATAAAAAATAAAATAACACCAAAATTACTGCATATGCAAAATAAATATATTTATATTTTTATAATATTATGTTGTATATTATAAAAATGAAATTTACCAATAAGTAATACATAAAAAAAAACTATTAAAAATACTACACTTTGAAAGGAATATCACGTTGAAATATTATTTTAATTAAAGGAGTAGGGAAAATGGAATGGTTTCGGTCGCATTTATAAGAAAATTCGGGGGTATTTAGCACATTTTCCAATGAGAAAACGAGATTTAGATGCGTGCTTAACCTTAAATTCCAGATGATGAAGAATTTGCGTCTATCGCAACAGAACGAATCTCGCCGCGAAACCAAGGCCACCCCCTATCTCACTCAAAATAGTCAGTATCAAACTACGCGATCAGGGAAAGTACTCTAAACGATCAGTCGTAAACCACGCACGTTGGTGGGCGAAAGAATGAGCATTTGGAATTTCTGCATAAATTTAGGAATATGATTTGTGTACATACCACCGCGTATCGTAATTAAAGAAAACCATTTTAACCGAAAAGAAACAGAACAGTTTATCATCATAAAAAAACTGCATATCATTGGTTTGTGCTTTTTTTTTTTTTTTTTAGAATATGTACATATCATGAGCCCTACTATTATGATGATTTTCAAATGACAATTATTTGGTCTGCTTTATGTTAATTCTAAATTGTGGTGGAATTGTAGGATTACTCGTGAAATCAATAGAATAAATTGGTACCAACCGCTCTTATATTCCGTGTAGATGAAAATAAAACTTCTGTATCAAAAAAAAAAATCCATTGAAAATTTCATCAATAAAATTTCACTGAATTTCCCGGTATGTATGTCTATGCTCATCAATGAATCCTCAAGCCTTCAACCAAATATATTATAAAAGAGATCTTTTAAGTCTAGATTGAATTTTGGTCTCCGGGAGCATTATAAGGATCATATATAATTGGCTTTGATTAGTTAATGCTAGTATAAAATCCCATTAATCTACCCAAAATTCACGTTAAAATAATTCTATTCTGATGATATATATTTATAAATGCAATGAATGCCAATCCCCTGTGCTTCACTCGCGAATAATAAAAAAAAACTATCATTAAATTTAAACGAATAAAAGTTCCTTCTAAAGTTTCTCTAAAAAAAATAAAAAAAAAAATTATCCCGCCCGATCTCGATTGTATCTAACAATGCTTAAAAAAATACCTATCGAAAAACGAATAATCAGAGACCACAAAATTAATGCAAACAATCCTTTAATGTTGATGCTGGTATATACAATAAAGTACGTCGAGATTCCTCCGACTATGACAACCCATATTATAAACTCTAGATAATTAATGTTAATATAAGATGACCCAAAATAAGTTAACCAATAAACCAATCTAAACCAATCTATAAATATACATACGTATAATCTTACTCCAAAAAGCTCGCCTCCTTGTATATTCTGCTACAGAATAGGCAATGTTTTTATCAATCCTATTCACAAATTGTGTCGGGCGTTCGTCTTCGTTGGTGAAGGTGACACCAATAGTGACCATTTTAAATTTTTTAGCTGCTTCCGTTTTAAACCTTTTCGCTCTTTCTTTAACTTGTGTGCGACTTTGTTCCTTGACATTCTGCGTGGCGTCCGGTGCAATATATTTAACTTCAACAACAGCCAAAATTCCAACGTTCGATATGAATACTAGATGTCCTCGATCATGTTGTTGTCCGTTGACAAACCAATCCAGAGCGAATAGATTTTCGAATCCTGGAAGTAGAGTTCTTACGTTTTGAATAAATTCGAGTTTTAAGTTATATTCGTCTCTATTAAAATCTCCTGAATTTTGTGCATAATGAAAAGATTGTATCAATTGATCTTTCCTACGAATATTTTCGTTGATCATATTTCTGTGCAATTTCGCCGACATATGTACGAGATGTGAGAGCAAATCATTGTGGTCCCAATCAAAAATGAAATTTCCTTGTTCTTCGGTCTCCTTTAAGGTAGCGGTGAGTAATTTTGATTTTGCAACTTCGGCTGCTCTAACAAATACATTGTCAGGTATGTGTTCCGTTATTTTTTCTTCTTGCAGCGTCTTAAAGAGAAGCTTGCATACTTGAATTTCGAGCTCCCTGTTACTCATGCTTAAGGAATAACAAGAATTTCCTCGATCAAGTATTAGCGTCAAATAAAAAATTTTTTATAAATAGTGACTGAATAATGCTAATCCATGAAACGATGAGTGTAAATTATGAAAAGGGAGTGGGGCTATAAATGTTGTTTATTAAGGGGAAACGTGCATGTATTAGATGCAGGAACCCTTTCCAAATTTATTATGTTTAAATTCATGGTACAAATGAAGTTTCTGACGGAACCTGATTTGGAAAGGGGGACTCGTTAAATTCCAGCCGTGTCACTATTCGAACTCTATTCCATCGCACTCGGATTGTGCGTGTGGGCACTACATCGTTATTTTCAGAAGGGAACAAGAAGCAATGGTCCTTTAAAACGTCCAAATGTGGATGTGATGAGTAAGTATGTTCAAATCTTAAATCCCAAAAAAAGAAAATGATCGGAATTCGTTAGCTATTACCACTTCCTTTCACATCCAAATATACAATGATAGTACGCACGTACATGAATACAGGAGACGCAGCCTTGAAAGTTCTCCGAGTCGTTCTTCCATGAATTATCATAACCCTCCAAACGGCTTTCCTTTTTATTTTTATTTTATTTTATTTTATTTTATTTTTTATTTTATTTTATTTTATTATTTTATTTTATTTTTTTTTTAGTTAATTTTAATTTTAATTTTTATTATTTTCTTCTTCACCTCATTTTTTCTTTTTACGCATTCTATTTTTCATTCTAATCTATTTTTCATTTTATTTTTTTTATTTTTTTTTTCTTATGCTTTCATATTTTTCCGTGAAACTCAAGGTTTTTTTTTTTAAAAAAAAAAAAATCAGGTTTCCCAAAGATTATCTGCAGCGGATGCAGATACTGTACGTACGTCAATCTCCTGAAAACTTGAACTCCGATGATTTCGCCGATTCACTTATGAAAGAATGAATGTCAAGAAGGGTAATTTTAAAAACACTGTGATGAGATCAATTTGCAGACGTTTGTCGGAATCTACTTCTTTCGTTATATAATGAAAAAATGTGTATGTTCGCGCACTCCACTTTCACATACTGTAAACTTTCTTCACAAGAAATGATAAATATTTGTTGATAAAAATTACACTCACCAAAACCAAGTTTTTACATGGTCAAAATAACATGGTGAACAAAATGCGCAAATAAATTTCGTCATTTGTTGCCTGATGTTACAAGAGACATTTTTTCTCACACACGAGTATTTGCCTATTGTCTTGGAAAATTTATTACGTTCAATTCCAGATGGAGGAAAAATCTCACAGAATATTACCCACACTAAACATCTGACAACGATATAATATCGAATTTCCTAAATATATGAGCTAATCCCTTTCGACACACCTACCCAATGTTCTTCAAATGTATTCTATTCATGGCCAAATTCTTCATGCCTTTCCGATCCTTGGGATTTAAAATCGGCATATAAGACTTTATGTGAAAATGAATGATAAAGGGTTAAAAAAAAAAAAAAAATTTTTTTTTTTTTTTTTTTTTTGGTTTCCACGTTACATAATAACAGCCCACACATGCAAAGGTGTATTTACTTATTCCCTCATTTGGGTGCTAAGGCCTTCACGATCCTTAGTTGCATGCCGTCCAAGGTAAAAGTACGTTGGTTGATCGCGTTGTCGTAACTAGACTTTTCTGAAAATTCGACAAACGCACATTTCTTCGCAAATAATGAAAAATGGTTACCAAATGTCGGGTATCAAATTTCGTGAATTGGAAATAAAAATCTTTCTTTACCCTTTCACGAACAACTTCAATCCATAAAATCTTTCCAAACCTTTCCTCAATACATTCGCGCAATTTTTCCTCTTCAATTTCAAACGGCAAGCCGCCAATAAAAGCCCTGTTGATCCCGGTTCCACCATAAGGATAATAATATGATTGCTGATTGCACGCATCTTTCGTGTTGTCGGGACCAAAAGAATCCCCCAAAAACCATTAGATGGACTTATATTAAGAAATCAATACAATCTTTTCATATTTAGACTCACTATTGAGATGACATTTGTTTCTGTTTTGAAACCTTCTTCGATTTTGACCTTCACCCGGATATAATAAATTAAAATATACAGTAACAACCAAACTTTCAAAATTCATCAAGAAATTGAAATTTCTAACCTTGCCAACCGGTACCGCCAACCATTCGATTGACGGATTTTACGAAGTCAACTTCCTTACGAGCAAAACTTTCTGCTGTAGAATAAATATTGGAATTTCCTTTAATGTCACAGCCAACAAATCTCATCAGGTTATAAATTAATTCCCTTTGTGTCATAATGAGGTTGTCTTTCACGGTGGCAACATTCTGGTATTGGATAAGAGCGGAATCTTTTAATAAGAGTTGATTCAATATGAGGTGGCAAGACGGACATTGCACAGGGTGATTTTGCATTCGCAAACACGATAATATTCGTGTCTTTGAATATTTTATATCAGGAATAAGAGAACATGGAGATTTCTCAGGCGCAAGTTCCACCGCCTCCGCTACTCCAATACCAAATTTATCAACAACCACTACTGCAACAACAATTATACCAACTACCTCCTCCCATGACGACCCAACCATATTACCAAGTGGCTTCTTCATATCCGCAACCGCCACAGTGTTATCAATTGTCGTTACCCTCACCTACCCAACAATTCCAAGACATGTCGCAAATGCAAAATCACCCTGTGCAATGTCCGTCTTGCCACCTCATATTGAATCAACTCT